GAAACGGGGGTAAATGCATGGGGAATCCAGTGGCTATTTATTTGGTGAGTTCGCTTAGTTCAAAGGGTGGCCCTTAGTTCCTCAGTTCTGCACACTGGGCTTTTGGCCAAGGCCAAGGCAAGGTTTTTCACATATTTTGCTAACTAGAGGTTTTGTTTTAATGCTTACCATGCAACAAAACTGTTACTAACATTTTTAACAGTGGTTCAGCTGTTACTAAAATGTGTAACTTCTAAACTTAGATTGGGGCAGATGGCTACAGTGCAGCAAACTGCCCTCAGTGCCTGCAAGGAACGCAGACTGGAGAATCAACAGCCACCCCTCAGACGGAGGACTAAGTGCAGGCTGGACTCTTTCTGAATGTTGTGATCAGAAAGAGTGAGGCCATCTTCTGGCTGCTTTCCTACAAAGCTGAGCCTCTGCTGGTTGGTGGTTCGAGGTGGAGGTTGGAGATGTCCTTTTTGAAAGATCTCTGGCTGGGTATCTTTCGTCTGAGAGACCCCCTCCCAAGGAACAACGAGGCCATTCGGATGCAAACAGCAAGAGGCTTTTATTTTGATATACGGGTACCTGGGGCAGCAGAGTCATTCGGAGGACTTTGCGGGCCCCCCTGGGTGGAAAGCTGGGTTTTTTATAGGGTTTTAGAACAGAAGCGTGAGTACAGAAGCAAGAAGCATAGTTACAGGGGGCTGATTGGTACATTCAAATGAGACCACAATTTGAGTCAGAGTTTGGCAGGGACACCAAGATTCCAGGAACTGGGTGGTCAAAATGGTCATGATGACCCCTTGACGTGGCCCGTCACCCGTTGTTTTCCTTAGGACCCTTATCTTAACTGGAACAGTCTCACAGATATCCATGAGGGCGATTAATACAAACTGTTTTTAGCTCAACTGGGGCAGCCTGACCGCAGATATCCCAAGTGGGTGACACAGCTGGGTTTCTTAGTAATTTTTTAGTTTTTTATTTAGCCTTCAGAGTTTTACAAAACAGTGGTGTCCCACAAAATGGCGTTAGCTATGTTTAACTTAGGGTGAGGCAGGGGTCTTTCACTTTTTATCCTGGATCTTGGCCTTCACAATCTTGATGGTGTCACTCGGCTCCACCTCTAGAGTGATGGTCCTGCTGGTCAGGGTCTTCACGAAGATTTGCATTTTCACCTGTTAACAAATGTGATGAAACCCCAAAATGGCCAAGCGTGTCAGAAACATCTAGACTCAAGAACTACTGAACCGGCACAGCCCCTGTCACTCACTAGTTTTTGGCAGCACAGTGGTGCATTAAAGTAGCTGTAAGATCAGAAGCTGCAGAGCATAGACCTGGTTCAGTATTATAGAATTTCTTGTTTACTGTGCAGCTAGAGGTGGACATGGCCTGTTAATAAGGAAATGCTTCAATCAAGTGGCTGATTGTGCAAACAATGACTCCAGGACAACATCCACCTGCCACACATCAAAAGGCCCTGTGCTGTGCTCACTGATTTTTCAGAACTGATTTTTAGGGCAGGTGCTGCAAAGGAATTTTAATCCAGCAACATGGCTGCTCTTATCACATCCAAAGACCTTTTAGGTCTGTGTGATCTGGCTAGAATATAGACATGCCCTCAGTACACACCTTTAATCCCAAATAATGAAGGTAAAAGTTAGTTTGTAGAAGGAGCACCTATGGTTGAAGGTGATGTCTAATTGAGAGGCAGACAAAGGGATGAATCAGAGAAAGATTTGACAGAATAGGATATGTTCAACTCTCATGAGGAGAGGAAAGAGGGGTGACTTAAGAGTGCAGAACAGAGAGAGAAGAGAGAGGGAGAGAGAGGAGGCAGTTGTTTTGCCGGGAGAGTTTTACAGAGACAGATTGAAGAGAGAAAAAGCTAGACACAAGTGAAGACAGAACAAGCCAGGCAAGGATTCAGATTAGAACAGATAGCTAGAGTTGGTTTGAGGCCAAGCAGAGCAATTCAATCAGAAGCTGAGAGGAGCCAGTCTGAATCAGTCATCTTGGAGAGGAGTTTGAGCCGGAATAGCTGAGTTGAACCAGCCAGCCAGAGTTCGGAACAAACTGGAAAGGGTGAAGTTATTCAGCAGTAAGCCTCCAAGATGACAATGACATCTGGAGAATAAAGGTGCACTGGGAGTTAATCTCTTCTGGCCCCTTCCATAACCAGCCACACCAGTGTCATTTCATAGAGATGCCTGTCTCCTTGGGTTTGTTCAGTGGCTACTCCATCCTCATGCCCATGAAGAGTGGGCGCCCAAGAGCTGTGCAGAAGAAAGCCTTTCAGGTAGGGACTGGGTCTGCTTCTCCCCTCACATCTTGGGTTGTTACAGGATATTTGATCCAAGTGTGAACCCTGAGAATGTGAACTGTAAAAACCTGTTTCTTGTTTGGTGTGGCTCAGCCCTTGCACACACCTTTAACCCAAGAGCGTTCTGTACACAGGATTTAATAGAGTTAACCCTGGGTCAAGCAGTGGAGCAAGTAACCAGATGACAGGGATTTAACAGAAAGGAGGGACTTTGAGATTTGAAGGGTATTTAAGACATGGAGAAGATGAGGTTTTAAGCCTTTTCCTCCTGGGCTGTCAGGTGAGCTAGCAAGCTTTTGGCTTTTGCCTTCTGGGATGTGAGCTGTGTAAAAAGGCTTTTTCCTTCTGGGACATCTGCTTGTAAGGGTTCGAGAATCACTGAAGGAAGACGCCCAGACTCAAATAGGACGTAAAAGCTAGGAGTGTTTATTCTGCAAAAACAACCAGCATGCAGGGGTCGACCATTCAGACAAAATGATGACCTGCAGAGGAGCTAGAAGGCTCCTTTTAAAGCCAGCTTGGGGATGTCCAGTCTCTGTTAGGTAATCCTCACCAGGATTGGTTGGGTTCACGGCAAGGGATACTTGTACATTCCTGATTGGTTCTGACCTCAGGGGAGGAACAGTCACCTCATACAGCCCCAGGCCAGATGTCAGGGCAGTTGCTGATTTGCTGCTCATCTCCTATGGCTCCCCCGCCCCCAGGAACTCATTAAGCAGGAAAGGGAGAAAGGTGGCAAGAACTTTGGTCCAGCTTTGGATGTGGTCTCAGAATGGAGTTAGTCAGGTCCTCTCATGCTGAGTAGGAAGATCAGCTGGTGCTTCCTCTGCCTCTCTGAGCTAGTAGGTTTTCACCCCAGCCTCTGGCTCCTGAGTCTTTATAGGCAAAATGGAAGTTTAGGGATTCACTTTCTTTTTAACAACGTTGGGTCTGACTAGAAAGTAACATGATATGACAGCAGCGGGCCAGGCCTGCTCTCTTGATACTGTTCTTTGCTCTCTCAGCGGTATACATTTGGGGTTTTTTGTTTGCTCGTTTACAAAATAATGTTTTTCTAAAATGCAAGCATAAATTATGTCAACCCTTTCTCACAAACCTTAAAGGTCTATCCTCTTTTGTCCCATTAAATACATTTTCACACCAATTTAATGCCATCTGCCACCTGTCATAGTCCTTATCAGAACACACTTGAGTATTCCCATCAGAGTCTCTGAGCCTACCATTTCCAATCCTTTTGGTGGTGGTGAGTTGTTTTGTTTTCAGACAGGTTCTCTCTATGTTGCCCTAGCTAGCCTGGAAATCACTATGTAGATCAGGCTGGCCTCAAACTCATAGAGTCCCCGGTATGGGTTCTGAGAACCAAACTACAATTACCTGGAAAATCGGGAAGTGCTCTAAACTGCCGAACCACCTCCCCAGCCTCTGTCTTTGAGTTTTAAGGAGAAAAGTCATCAGGAATTGCTCACTTAAAAACGAGCACCAGGAACCTTGGATTGTGGCCCACACCTTTAAGCCCAGCTCTCAGGAGCCAGGCAGTTCCCTGTGGCAGCCTATTCCAGAGGAATAGCAAACAGCTTTAAAACTCATGGAGAGCGGCCCACCGATTAGCACAAAAACAGTGGGCCCTGAGGACTCCATGCTGTGGTGGACTATCTGCTTGCTGGCCTCTCTGTCCTCACGGCAGTCCTAGTCTACGAGCTGTACGGAACTCTCAGGGGCCTTCCAGCCCCTCACTGGGCACTGTCATTGCTGGTACAATAATAATGACTGATCTTTTTCAGGCTCTGCTTCTGGAGCAGATGAAGGGCTCATCTGCCACCCTCAGAAAGGACTGAGAGCTGCAGATTGTTAAGAATGGCCACCACCCTTAAGAAGATTTCAAGGATCTAGTAATAGTTAGGATAAGATGTTTTTGTCAGTGGCTTTGATGTAAAAAATCTTGGGGTACAATTTAAAGTTCAGAGAAGAACGCTCCTGAGAGTTGAGCGAGGGATTTTTGAGGTGAGGGAACAAGAACAAGGGCAGCCTGTCTAGTACTAGCTGACATGCCTTCCTCACTAAAGCTGGGCTGCTGAGCAAAGGCAATCATTGATTTCTTGTACCCATTTTTTTGCCCTTGGCTTCCTGATATGATTTAATAATAATAAAAAAAAAAAAACTGTTGGTGAGTCGGTGTGCATTCTGAGGATTTAAAGCAGAAATGGCACTGAACACATAAGGTGCTCAGACATTCATGTAGGTGCAGCCCTCATACATTAAAAAAAAAAAAAAAAAAAAAAAAAAAAACTAAAAAAAAAAGAACACTAGGTGGCAGGGAAGAGATGGCTGAGTAGCTAAGGGCCCGACAGGGCAGTTTCTGGCTGCCTGTAACTCCAGTTCCAGGGTATCTGATTGAGGATACCAGGCACACACATACACAGTAAAAAAAAAAAAAAAAAAAAAAATCGTTGGTGTGGGGGTGCGAAGGGAATGGGAGAAGGTAGGCATGGTGGCATAGGCATATAATCCCAGCACTCAGGAGGCTGAAGCAAGATGATCACAAATTCAAGGACAGCCTGGGCTACATAGTTAACAAGTTTCAGGCAAGCCTGGACTACACAGTGAGATTCTACCTCTGAAATGAACGAACAAACAGGCCTCACCCAATCGATAAATCATTTACAAGTTTAAAAGAATATTAAGGAAACAAGACATGTTGACCATCTAAGTAATGTTTAATATAATTAAGGCTTAAGAAATGTTGATTAGGCCAGGTGGTGGTGGCACACACTTGGGAGGAGGCAGAGGCAGGCGGATCTCTGTGGGTTCGAGGCCAGCCTGTCTACAGAGTGGTTACCGGACAACTAGGGCTACACGCAGAGAACCCTGTCTCAAACAAAACAAAACAAACGTTTATTATTTTGGAACTATTTGTATCTAGTGATAGCATTCTTATATACATGCTTATCATTGTTAAAATTACTTGTGTAATTAAGCTAAATAATGTTTTATCAACTTCTGAAGCACCCAAATCATAAGCATTCCTATGTATAAACAGGAACCTAATACAACTTTTTGCTCAGAAAAAAAACAAAAATCCTTAATCACCCAAAAGAAAAACAAAGATGTAAACTGAATTTCCCTTGAACTTTGATAATTTTTTTATTCTTACTGGCTGGTGGCTAAGACGTTAATTCCATTCTAAAACAAGAAACCCACACCCGACATCACAACACAGTTGATGTCAGCGTTGTCCGCTGGGACTCATGAGGAACTGGTGCTCGGGCCACTAACAGAGAGCGGCTCTGCAGGCTGACGGGTCTCAAAAGGAGTGGTGTCTCCAGATAACACACACGTAACTTTTAGGTCACTTTCAGATTACTTAAAATTCGAACCACAGTAGAAATGATGGCATGAGAAGATCTGCATATGCAAATCTACAGTGAGTAGAATCCACATGACGGAGCCCGCATGATGAAGGGCCACTGTTTCTGCTTTTTGGTTTTTGTTATTAAGGTAGGGTATTTCTCTGTGTAGCCCTGGAACTCACAGAGATCCACCTGCCTCTGCTTCCTGAATGCTGGGATTAAAGAGGTGGGCCACCACTGCCCGGCTGTTTACGTTTTCAAAACCATGTATTTTAATTTGTGTGTGTGTGTGTGTGTGTGTGTGTGTGTGTGTGTGTGTGGCAGGGGTATGATCACGTGTGATCGGATGCCTGAGGAGGTCAGTCGAGACCTCTGGATCTCTGGGAGCTGGAGTTACAGTCATTCGTGAGCTGCGTGGTTCCAGCGCTGGGAACCAAACTTGTGTCCTCCAGGAACAGCACATGCTCTTAACTGCCACCTTTCCAGCCCCTATTGATGTCCGTCTAAACAGTAAGTAATCGTTTGTTTTCAATCAGCCGTTTAGAAAGTATGGAACTCCAGTAACCCGGCCTTTTTTCAGAGCTGCAGCTCTTGCCAACTTCGGGCTGGCCAAGGGCAAAAGGTCAGTCTTTGCTACACCTTATGTTTTCTGTACAACCACTGCCCTCTCAGACATACCAATAAGGCCTGCAATTAAAAAGAAATTGAGTGAGGGGGAGACTCCACCCTGACAGAAAATAGAAACACACACACAAACAGTGGAGAGTATTCCCAGGAGAGATCAGCATCAGAGATGGCAAATAAAATAAAATAACTTAAATTAAAAAAAAATCATAGTTTGGCTGGGTTTATCCTCTCTTGGCCACCCAAATGTTTGTGGAAAAAAGTCTGGAGCTGCTGCCATGCGTCCACCTGGGCCATGGCATGAGCCCGGGGCTCCCCTCCCCAGATGACAGGAGCACCCACCAGGCTGTGCAGGGAAGCCTTGCACCAGGGGAGGTAAGGGGGCTCAATGTTGTGACCCGTGTCTGGGTAGCAGATGATCTGGGGCTCCTTCTTCCCATGGGCCTGTAAGCGTTTGGAGGCCTCTCTGGCATAGAACTCGCTCCTCCAGTTGTGGTCATCCAGACCAACGAGGAACAGGAAGGCCGTGTCAGACCTCTCCACGGGGATGATGCTCTTCTGGTCAGGTCCTTCCAGAGGATTGTTCAAGGCATCTACAACGTCTTTGAGGCCATCTTTGGTCCTCTTGATTCGTCTGATGTCCATGCCCACTGGGAGCACAGTCTCATCCTTGTACTGTAAGGTTCCACCAACGATGGATATACAGCCGTTGATGATGACAGCAGCTGTGATATTTTTCAGGAAGGAGGCCATAGCAAAGCCAAGTTCACCCCCTTTGGAGATGCCAAGCACCCCAACTCCTGGACCTTTTACCTGAGAAAGACAAAGACAGAAAGGAAGGAGAATGGACCCACATGAAAGGTAGCATCCACTCCTGGACATCAGGTAGCCTGAGCCTGACTCTGGCTCTCTCATCCCAGCTTTGGGAGGGTTATGGGGGCATCTTCAAAGCTCAGCATCCATCTGCAGCTCAAATGGGAACAAGCTCTGAACGTGATGATACCACAAGAAGCACTCAAACAAGTCGGGAAATTGGTTCGCAATTTAGGCCTGTACCTTCTTATACATCAGTGACCCTTGAACTCACACAAGTTCACGGCAACTGGAAAAGTGGGAAGTCAAACCCAGGTGACATTCTGCCTGTAAGGTGACAAGGTGTATCTATAAACACTGGGGAAGAGCCTATTTGTCAAAGAAAATGTTTTCTTCCTAAAAATAATACCTATGCTTCGTCTTGACTACCTTGTTTGGGCCAGAAATGGACGCTGCAGGAAGGAACCTTCTCCCCTCAACAACCTGGGAAGGTTGGCCACCCTGTCAGACTTCTGAGCACCAACCTTCTCATGCCCCCCCCCCCCCCGCAAGATCATCCCAGTTAAATACGTTTTACTCTGTAGATCTGGAAAAGACTAAATGTTGATTGTTATAGAACCTGAAGCTACAAGGAGGCAAATCCAGCTTTGGCTTGAGGAGGCATTTAGGACCTCAAAACCTAAACTGAAATACTGTAATGGCCAACCTGAGGGTGACTGAGCAGGTAGTTCACGGCTTCCTCGAAATACTCCAGGTGGATCACGTCCATGTCCTTGGGGAGGTCGTCGTAGTTATAATAAGCCAGAGCCATCACGGCAAAGCCCTTCCCAGCCAGCAGACTGGCTCGATACTCCAGGAGGCCATGTCCAATTCCAAAAAGGTCCATGATCCCAGGAAAGGGTCCAGTTCCTTGGAAAAAGGGGGGGGGGAACACCCCTTGCAGATTTAGTTTCCAAATATCTCGGTATCTCATTCTTCTGTGTATATAACGGGGCAGGAGGAAAGATGTGGTACATCCAAGCCTCTTCTCTGTTTTTGAAAATATGCCTTGTTGCGTGGTCTATTAGTGGGAGAACTAGGACGTTACCTTTCCTAAAAATGCCAACTGGGGATCGGCCCTCCCTCATTGGCCTAGACCCACTCCTATGGGTGACTCATGCAGCCTCAAGTCAACAGCACCTCCTGAATGTGCAGCAGTCCTGAGCGGCCAGCACCAGGTTGGGGTGTCACCGATACCAGACGTCCCTAAACCATGGGCTCGGAGGAAGTCTTTTTCCTATTTTAGCAACACGGCATCTTTTTCGGAACCTTGCAACTCAGAAACGGATGGTTTGATTGCCCAAGTTCTGTGAGAGCGAGTCATCAGTGGTCATCTTGGAAACCCCAGTTCCCGAGGCCTGGGCGAGCTTTGAGGCTCTGCTCCTGAGGTGAGTTTCTGTTCAGGACTCCCCCAGCCCTGAACCTGAGCCCGCCAGGCTTTTCCAGGGGCCACCCACCTCTAAGAGCCGCGTGCAGTGTGGGAGACAGGGAAGACGGGGCCCAGGGGCCGCACCCCTGAAGCATCCCTGGTTGCAAGCCCAGGACGGGGGGGGGGAGGGGGGAACAGCTCACCTGGGGGCAGGAAGAGCGTGGCGCGCACCCGGCCCTCGCGCACGGGCACGCGCCGCACCCCGGGAGCCAGGAAGTGGCGCTCGTGCCCCGCCTTGGCCAGCAGCCGCCCGCCGTCGGGCTCGTGTCCGTCCAGCACGTCCAGCTCCAGCACGAAGGGCGTCTGCACGTCGCGCTTGACCAGGCGCCAGAAAGGCCGCTCGGGCTGCATGGCCCAGAGCAGCCCCATGGGCTCGAGCCCCGCGAAGCTGCCGCCCAGCGCGGGCGCGCGCGCCAGGTCCAGCTGGCCGTGGGCATCGGCGCGGTAGCGCGCGTGGGCGCGGAAGAGCGCGCCCTTCTCGTCGCGCAGGGCCGCGCGCAGCGTGACGGGCTGCCCGGGGGCCAGGCCGCGCACGGAGATGCGCACCGGCTGGTCGCAGAGGCAACCATCCGCGGGCTCCAGGATCACCGTAGGTGCCATCCGGCTCTGGGCGGTAAATGAGTGCCTTGCTTCAAATTCTGCTTTGATGCTTTTAAGCCTCCGGAGAGTTGCTGTCACAGGTTTTCAACCCTTCCGGGTTCATTTCGAAGCCGCTGTGCCCCGCCCCCTAGCGTTTATTAACTACTACTAAGGTGCGGGAAACGTGTCATGGAAATAATGTGTCAAAGAAAGGAAAAGCTACCGTTCCAAAAATCTGGATTGTGCTAACGCACTGCCAGGGGGTTGTAATTCTAGAGACCCACGGGAAATAGGGCTTTATTCCCTTACTCCTCTGTGCACCCTTACCGAGCCTCTCTCTAGACTTTGTGGAACCTGGAGCCACGCCTATAGAAATCAAACCTCCTGAGACACACACTGATTCCGCGCCTTAATCATTTTCCAGGTAATGGTGCCTGTGGAGCTGACGATTGCGGTGGTTGTCTGAAGTAAGGTTTCACCTGGCTCAGGTTGACCTTGAGCTTGCTCTGCTAAGGATGACCTCCTGGCCTCCTGCCTCCGCCTCCCAAAGGCTGGGATCGCAGGCCTGGACCACCACTCTGCACTCTTCCCGATGTCTTTAAATGAAACGTTTTCCTGGGATGACTCGGCGGGCTAACACGTTTCAACTGTGCTAATATCAAGCAGGGAACTGGTGTTTTTCCAACTCAGCCAAGAGAAAGGTCAGGCAGACCGGGTTATTTAAAAGGATTTCGTAAACGGACCTTGTTACAAAAGCATAGGTAGCTGTCCTGTGAAAACAGAGACCAAGGTTAAAAGGTAGGTCAGAGTTAACGCTGTGAAGCTGGGAATGGAGACTTAAAAAGGCTTGCAGCTGGGCATGAGAGCTAGCCTGGCTTCCCTGAGGCGCCTTCCCCGAGGAACTCAGGCAAGGCATTGTTCCCCAATAGTGTATTATTGCTCCTAATGCAGCTAATGGAAGCTGACTAAAGTTTAAGGGTGGCTTCCAAAAATAAAATGTTAAAAAATGACCTATTTCACACCGCCCCTACTATGAGCTAAATATGAAGTAACCAAGGAAAACCACAGCTATGTCTTAGTAGCCGTGATAACTCTTAACTCTCCATAGACAGTAAAGGAAAAAGGCCAGTATAAAGGTGCCAGCTGACCACGTATCCTAGAAACAAAGAAAGCATAGGTTAAGTGGCTAGCAGACCCCACCAGGGTTTAGAACCAGCAAGACCCTGCAAAGTCGGAGCCAAGCAACACTGGGCAGGACTGGAACTACCAGCGGACAGACAGGGTCAAGAGCTAAGAATGTAGAAGTCAGAGATGGACAGACAAGGGCTCCAATCATCCCTAACTTGGCAAGCAGTGCCCCAAACAGCCTGTCAGCTCCCTTACTGGACCAGGGGAATGTGCATTGAACGCGTGCCTTACGGCTGCTCAACTTCCCATGCTTAGAGAATTAACCAATAGGGATTTCCCCAGTGTTGGTCGGCTTTCTGCCCCAGTCCCATAAAAAGTCCCTAGATAAGCTCAAAACAAAACAAACAAACAAACAAAAAAAACCACAACCCTTTTTTTCTTCTCTTGGGGGCCTCTCCAGAACTCTGCTTTCTGCAGTATTTCATCTTCATTCTTTAAGCTTTCTGCCTACAGTAATTTAAAAAAAGGCAGCTGGGAAGCAAAGGATCAGAGGCATCCCAAACAGCCCTCAAGGGTGTGCGCCCTGTGGCCTCACTTCTTCCGTTAGGCCCCACCTCCTAAAAGTTGTACCACTTCTAATATCGACACAGACTGGAAACTAAGTCTTCAGCACGTGGCCTTTGGAGGACCGTTTGAGAGCCGGCCATAAAAGGAGGGTTGCCTTGCCTACAGGTGACCAGTTGAAATGGAAGACACAGTTTTCAAAGTGACTGCTGCCGCTGTGTGCAAAATCTTGTCATCCTGGTGACAAATTGGCGTCCACCTCTCTTGACTCACTTCTCAAAACACTTATCTTCAAGTCACCTAGTTGTGGGCTTGCCAAGACCTTTCCCTTAATTGCAGCTGATAATCAAGTTGAGAGAGTGAATGTTTCCTGGACCACGGATTACTTTTATAATGTTTGTGGGGTGGCCAATGAACATTGCCACAGAGCCGGGGCATGAAACTCTTCTATCAACAGGAGGAGACAGGGACTTGTCCAAAGGCATCATTTGCTGACTCCACTATTCACTACCAACAGCACCCTTTCCCTTAGGCATCTCTTCCTCTGACTGTGTACAAGAGGAGTATTTAAGTATTTGGAAAATAATGAATATTTGTTTGTGTTTGTTTCTGTTTTTGAGACAAGGTGTCAACCGTGTGTCCTTGATGGCCTAGAACTCACTACATAGACCATGCTGGCCTCAAACTCCCTGATTATTATTATTACTGTATTTACTAAAATGAGATCATCTGCAGGGGTTTTCTCCAACTTCTCATAATTAAGGTCAAGAACTTATCCATATTCATGAAACACAAGAACAGAACACCTAACTCTAGTCAGATGGAAGGACTGGGGAGTGCCTCAGCAGCACAGGATTTGCAGAGCAAGAACAGGCTGTGTGTTTTGTCTCCAGCACCAGAAATAAGTAAAACAGAGCACATGTCTTTAAAAAAATCATAGAATCCTGGCAGAACCGCCGCTCCCAAGGTCAGACTAGGATGCTTTATTAAAATAGGATAATTGAATATTTCTTGTGGCTTTTGAGTTTTTACCATCTTCCTTAAAAGTTGAAATGTGGAACAACCCAAGGTAAAATCTAAGGAGCATATTCCCACCCTCACCACTGTGCCTGGTGAATACACCGGGGTTTGTCGGTAGGTGAACTCCTCAGTAGCTGCCCTGTCTCTTGCCAGGATCCGCACCTTGAAATAATTAACGTGCCTCCTCCTCCTGCTGTCGATTTAATTGTCTCTGTGAAGTCAGAAATTTTCTTCCATTTTCTTTTCTTTCTTCCTTCCTTCCTTCCTTCCTTCCTTCCCCCATCCTTTTTGTAGCCTTGGCTGTCCTGGACTCTCTTTGTAGACCAGGCTAGCCTCAAAATTACAGAGATCTGCCTGCCTCTGTCTCCCTGAGTGCTGGGATTACAGGCGTCTGGCACCTTGCCCTGCTATACACCAATTCTTTATGAGTTTAGTTTTATCAGATTCAGCTTAATTATTCACAGAGGTGCAGCCAGAGAATCTGTTTACCAGATAGTAGTCTTAGCTTTAGAAACTTTTTCAGGTAGCCAAGCCAAGGCAAGTTTTATTTTGTGGGGTTTTGTTGGTGATGTTTGTTTATTTTGAGACAGGGCTCTCAATCTGTAGCCCCAGTCTCTTTGGAATATTTCCGCTTCAGCATCCCAAGTTCCGAGGTTACACAGAGGTAGACAGAGTTTTCACTGAGCATCTGTGATATCTTGAGAATACAGAGCCTCGTTGAAGGTGTCGAGTTTTTCTTACTGTCAGTCTGGAAACCGTGGTAGGCAAACATTATACAGATTTTTGAAATATGCTAATGTTTGTTTTTAATTGTGTTATACAGAGAGAATATTCTTTTGAACTTACCCAAACAAATGTATTGCATTAATAAAAATAAAAGTATGAATAGACTTTGAAGAAATGAGGAAGGCAGAAAAAATAAGGGTTTCCACCTTTGTTTATAAATGATATTTTATGAAAGTGATGCGAGCTTTGGGGGGCTTACACAGATGTTTCTTTAAGCCTCCACAGCAAAGACCTATAAGAAAAGAGCCAGAAACACTTTACGTAGGAGACATCAAACTGGAACATGCTTGTAAAATCCTTCCACTTCAGAGGTTCAGGCAGGAGAATTACCATGAGTTAGGGAGTGATATCTCATTTTATTAAGGAAGACACAGGGGCTAAAGAGATGCTTCAGTGGTTAAGAACACTGGCTGTTTTGCAGAAGACCCAGGTTCTATTCCCAGCACTCACACGGCAGCTCACAACCATCTGTAACTCCAGTTCCAGGGGTATCTGACACCTTCCTCTGACCTCCACGGGCTCCTGTATGCTTTCGGCACACAGTCATACACTCAGGCACATGCACATACAATAAATATCTTTAGAAATTTTAAATGGGTACCACCCCTAATGTTATGAGCTTATTCATCTTTGCATGATTCTTGTTCTGCTTAATCTTTAGTAGCAGTTTGATGACTTCAGTTCCTTCTTTAAAGTTCTGGAAATGTTTATTTAGTTCCTGAGTTACCCGAAGCAAGGCTGAGTATGATAAACGACTTGGTTGAAATTCTGATGAGAATTTAGCAGCTGACAAGGAAGTTTGGTTATTTTCACTGCATACAGAATTTTGAGAACTGTGGCTCAGACTTTACGAGTGCCAGGTAATCTTCAGATTCGTGTGGGGAGCGCATGCGTGGAAACACATCGTCACGACTGCACGGCTCCACATATTCCCATGCAATCCCGTATAACCAGCAGCTGGATCGCTCCACTATCTGAAAGATGAGAGGATCCTTGAAGGTTCACCAAGGGCCCCAGGGGAAATGTTCAAGTCCAGAAGTTTTCATTTAGAACTTTGATCCTGGGAAAGTCTGCCAACGATGACCTGTTTAAAACATTTGACACAGCATTGCGAAATAATAGTCATCTGGCGAATCAACCTCCGCTAGAGATCAGGTGTATAGTTACAAAGTTACTGAAAGGCTTGAAAAAAAAAAAAAACAAACAAAAAACAGTCCTTAACTATTTTAGGGTCTCTTTAATTAAGTATGAAACACTCAATAGAAGAGCAGAAAAATAAAAATGAGAACGAAAACAAAACCTTCCAGCCACGGCACTGGTTCTGTTTGAGGGAGCCAGTTCAGACACCTCTAAGCCAAACCTGCTGAAAGGGGGCTTGAATATGAATCTGTGTGCAAATGATGAGTTTGTACTCATCATGTATGATGATATGGAAGAAGAGAAACAAGAAAGCCAGCACCTTGAACACAGGACTCTTGGAAATGGTGCAGGTGTGTGGAATTGTGTGGTTTTCCTCTAATTCAAAGCAGGAAGAAAAGCCATGAGTAAAGATTCAAGTTATCTACATTGTCAAAACAAACATTTTTGGTGTCTGTTACAACAGTAAAGTAAAAATCAGAGTAAAAGAAGAAGGGGGGGAGCTCAAAGGGGCTTATAAGAAAGAGAGACAGACAGACAGAGGGAGATGAATTAGTGGGTACTGTGAAGCTGGGAAGTTGCTCAGAACATAACCAAAACAAAACAGAACTCATAACTGACCACAAAACCTTTGCAGTTTTTTCCCTAGGGGGGAAACAAACTTGTTGAGAAAACCTGGCTCCAATGGTGTGATGACACACCTTTAATCCCTGCACTCAGGAGGCAGAGGTAAAATGCTCTTATATCTGGAGGCCAGTCTTGTTTATACAGTAAGTCCCAGGCCAGCCCAGGCTACAGCCTAAGAAGAGGAGGAAGAGGGGAGAAGGCCAGGCAGGAAGACTATCAGGCTCCAGCCAGTCTTGTTCTGAGTTCTGGTCTACCACAAAGTGAGAAGTTGTTTTTGTTGTTTTCTGAGACAGTGTTTCTCTGCGTCGTAGCCCTGGCTGTCCTGAAACTCTCTGTGGACCAGGATAACCTCAAACTCGGAGATCCTCCTGCCTCTACCTCCCAATTGCAGGGACTAAAGGCATGTGCCACCATGCTTTTTGAAGTGAGAAGTTTTTCTCCAAAGCTGCTGCTCCCGTGAATGCCATGCCTTCCCCTCCATGCTGGGTTGAAACTGGTAAAACCCCGAGTCAAATTGTTCTCTCAGGTGTTTTGTCACAATGAAGCAAAAACAGCTAACATAGACATATAACACAGATAAACGTAATCCTCTCTGGTCACAGAGAGCTGTGAGATGGCTCCACTGATTGAGTTGCTGCCACCAAGCCTGATGACCTGAATTCAATCCCCGGAGCCTGCATGGTCGAAAGAGCTGACTACCCACATTGTCCTCTGACCTACACACACACACACACACACACACACACACACAAATGTAACAAAACTGCACTTGTAAAAAATGTATGCTAATGGTAATGAGAACATCATTTTTGCTAAAGCTTGTTCAACAAAGGTTTATGTAAGGCATGTGAAATAGAAATGATTTGGGTTAATTGCAGTAATATTTTTATTTTTTCCTTTTTTTGTTGTATGTGTTTGTTTGTTTGTTTGTTTTTAAGACAGAATTTCTTTGTGTAGCCCTGACTGTCCTGGAATTTGCTCTGTAGACCAGGTTGGCCTCAAACTCACAGAGAGCCACCTGTCTCTGTCTCTGTCTCCAGAGTGCTAGGGTTAAAGATGTGCACTACCACTGCCTGGCAATTACCATAATCTAAAGTTTATTTATAGGAGTGTCCCTTTATTTAGAAGATAATTAGAACAAAATTTCTTAGAGTTTCTTTTCATGTGGGCACAAATATATAACATGTACACATGCAAAGCACACACCAACACATATGTCCAAGGATTTTATAGCTTCTAGTTTAGAATTCTAGTTGCTAGAAAAGAGGGGTTGATGAGGTGACTTAGTGTACAAAAGCAATAAACTTGCAAGCCTGGCACTGAGGGACCACGTGGGAATGAGAAACGACTGTGATTCTTTGAATTGAAGTTAGGGGCAGAGAGCTCTTGAAGGGCGGGGTGAACTGTTCTGAGAAACAACCAGCTGTAAACTATAGAGCAAAAGTGACCTGATTTTCAGGTATAAAAACCCTGTGCTTTGCATGTTCGGGGTCCTCTCCTGTCTTCGGAGGGGCGAGATAGCAATAAAACCTCTTGCTTTTACATCGAGCTGTGGTCTGTGAGAGTTCCTGGGAAGGGCGCGATCCTGAGCTCCTGAGCAATGAGACTCCAGGTCTTACAGCACCCAGAGGTCCTCACTAGGACCCATTCGAGGAGAGAACTGACTCCCAAAAGTTGTCCTCTGACCACCTACACACATACACTACTTAAATTTGTGAGTTTATGAAAGAAAAACTAATCTGATTGTGTTTCGCACAAAATGAGACAAATGAGCATCTGTACAATCTTTTGAAGGCTGTGGACCAATCTCCACAGTAATCAGAGGTTAAAACAATGTCCATAGTAAGTTAGTTCTAAAAAGCATCTTTTCCTTTCCTTATTGCCTTCTTTTAGGCTCAAGTTTAGGGAGTGACTTTTTAACAAGGCTCCAAGTGACCTTGAATAGAAAGCCAAAAGTTTTTGTTTCTTTGCTAGTTTAACACAGGTGAGAATCATTTTCAGAAATGTTATTTGGAAAATTATCTAAAGGCTTGTTTTACTCCGTTGAGATGGCAAAATCATCAGTTTTTTTGCTTTGTTTTCATTGTGTGTGTGTGTGTATGTGTCTCTGTGTGTGTGTAAGTGTGGACTTTGCACTCTTGTATATCCAGGTATATTTGCCTATGCGTGAACATCAGGTTCCCTCCTTTCAGATAACGCTAGCTTGTGTCAAGTTGACATAAACTATTCAGCACGATCACCATCTTTAAAACTAAACCATGAGTCAAAGCATTATTCACTAAAGAGTGACATGAATGCCGGGCCTGGTGATGCACGCCTTCAATTCCAGCACTCAGGAGGCAGAGTCAGGACAGTCTCTGTGAGTTCCAGGCCAGCTTCCTCTACATAGCAAGTTCCAGGCCAGCCAGGACTACTTGATGTGGTATGGTTACAACACAAACAAAGAAACAAAAGCCAATAAAATGAAGTAAAAACAACAACCACTACCACTGAAACCCTGAGCTTAGAGGAAATCATATATTTTAATAAGGGGCTGCTGTTTTTAAGCTTTATTCATTGAGTCACACACATCTGTGTCTTTAAAAAGCACATGTCATGTTGGTAAAATACCATATCGATTAATATAACTTATTCAGGTAAGTGACCTCTAAACCTCTAACGTGAATTTAATGTGATCCAGCAGAAAACTGATCACACAAAGTTAACGAACATCAAATTGACTTGACCTTGAATCTACCATGCCAGCAACAGGCAAACACACTACAACCTACAGGAAGCTCTGTTCTGGGTACAGTCCAGGTGTTTACCGAAGAAGGACAGGATTTGCTTCCACGCATCTATCTGGGCTTTAGAGTGAGCCCTGACCTCCCCTCCCCAAATCACAGGTTGGCTCACTATTTGGTGCAGGGAAGCTGGGCACATCGGGAAGTAAGGAGGCTCGATGTAATGGCCAGTCCCAGGGTAACAGATTATCTGGGGCTTCTCCTTTCCACGAGCCTGCAGCCGTTCTGAGGCTACTTGAGCGTACAGCTCACTCCTCCAGCAATGGTCATCCTGACCAGCAATGAAGAGGATGGGCCCCTGGGCCTTCTCTATGGGAATCATGCTGGGGTTCTCACAGCCCCCCGTGATATCATTCCGTATATCCACAATGTCCAGAATGCCGGAGAAAGCCACCTTCGTTCTCCTCAGGTCATGGCCCAATGGTGGGATCACAGTGCCCTTGTAGTGTATGTGTCTGGCCCCACTGAATGCAGAGCCATTCATGGAAACTGTGGCCGAGACATTCTTCAAGAACGCAGCCATGGAGAGACAAATGTCAGCTCCTAGAGAGAGGCCCAGCAGCCCAACATTTGGGCCTTTTACCTAGGGGGGGAGGAGAGAAAGAGGTAAGAGTCAAAAACATACCCAGCTAGGTGTGATGGAAGGTGCCTATAATCTAGTGGTGCGAAGTTGGAGCAGGAGGAGCAGGAGTTGAAAGCCAGTCAGCTACACAGAGAATTCAAGACCAGGCTAAGCAATTTCAAATACTGAAGAGAAAGGAAAAAAAGCAATGAAAAGACAGAGCTCCGGAGATGGCTCAGGGGTAAAGGTGCTTGCTGCCAAATTCAATTCCTGGGGCTCACAAGGTGGAAGAAGAGAGCTGACCTCTTCGCCTGTGTGCTGTGGTACGTACATAATACATACATACATACATACATACATAAAAAAGAATTTACCCAGTGCCAAAAGAAAATGCAAATAGAAGGGCTGGAGAGATGGCTCAATGCTTAAGAACACTGGTTGTTCTTCAAAGGATCATGGCAGCTAACAACTGTCCATAACTCCAATTCCGAGGAATCTGTCGGCCTCTCCTGGCCTCTCCCGGCCTCTCCTGGCCTCTGGCCGCTGTGGTGCATAGGCACAACTGCAGACAAAATACCCATGCACATGAAATAAAAGGAAATCTTTCATGGCAGACAAACCTATGCAGCCACACTTAGGAATCGGTTATAAATGCTGAGCCACGGGAGCCCTTCATGTGAGACCTCAGTCACAGTGACCTTGAGCCAGGCCTTTATTTGGCTGTATATGTTGAAGCATGTGGATTAGGCTCTGGTCCAAGGTGTGAATCATTCATCCAACCCCAGCGAAGCAACACCAGAAAATGATTAACTTCATAAAAAGAGAGACTTCAAAGTCCAACTGAGCAGTTCTTAGCCTTTGTGACTAAATTTGAGAGGAAAATTAAAGGTTATAAAGCCAACATGCTAAGATAACTAGTATTACAGCAAGAAGAATTTTACTCTTAAGGGATGAAATTTCCCACCATTTTGATGAAGATTTCCACACCATCATGGAGCTATGTGACAGAGAAAGGGGAAATGTTAGATGCCCAAAGCCGAGGAAATCTTCCTGAGAAAATTCCTCTACGAACAGAGAACAGAGCAGGCGACCGTCTCTGTAGATGGTCCCAGAGGCAGCGATTAGCAAGAGGAGAACCTGGGGGTGCCGAAGCATGAAGCATACAGCTTCTTCAAAGTAGTCCAGTTCTATGACGTTCAATTCCTTAGGGAGGTCTTCAAAGCCATAAAAAGCCAGAGCCAAGGTGGCAAAGCCGTGGCCCGCCACAAGGCTGGCTCGGTACTCCGGCAGGCCCCCTCCAACACCATACACATCCACGATGCCTGGAAACGGTCCTTCTCCTACAGAGGGCAACACGACAAGGCAAACGCATCATGTGACCCGAAGAATTCGTTTCTCTTTTAGAAACCTGCTCCCTAAATGGTTTAGTTGGTTTCTACGAAACCGATTAAACAGATCCCCGTCTCACTGCACGGAGACACAGGAGCTTTGGAGTGAGAAAAAAAAAAAAAATCTAATGGTCTCGTGGATGATTTCTTCCACCAGGGGAATCCAAACCAGGGCCCCATGGGCCATAGGAGGACTTCTCTGCTGGAGGGCTGCAGAGAATGGGAAGCAGGGGCTGAAGGGTGGCCCAGGGCTTGAGAGCCCTCCTTGTTCTTGAAGAGGACCCAGGACCCAGGACCTGGGCTCACAGCACCTGTAACTCCAGCTCCAGGGTATCTGGTGCCCTCTTCTGCACCCCACACCAGCACACACAAAGCATACACACATGAGAATAAAGTTAAATTCATTTATTTTTTTTATTCTACATGCGTTGGTATTTGCTTGAATACGTATTGCATATCTATCTGTGTGAGGGTGTCGGATACCCAGGAACTAGTTACAGTTGTGAGGTGCTGGGAATTGAACCTGGGTCCTCTAGGAAGAGCAGCCAGTGAGTGCTCTTAACCACTTAGCCATCTCTCCAGCTCCCATAAAGTTAAACTTAAAGCAGTAAATAAAAAACAGTTGACGCACAGCTGGACGTACTGTGGCATTAACCCTTGAGGGCGTGTGTGTGTGTGTGTGTGTGTTTGTGTGTGTGTGTGTGTGTTTACTGACTGGGGGAGGAGGGAGGTGGGGATGGTGCTGATCCTTGGTAAGGAAGTCACTGGGGTCTGAAGTGTGGTCTGTGGTGAAGATGGACATGAAAAAGTGGAGAGGGGACTGCGTGTGTCCAGGACAACGTGGCAGTCTCCTCCATCAGTTTTCCATGATGCCCAGGGAGCTCTGTGGTGTGGTGGACTGTAGCAAAGGGCACCTGTTTTTTCGTCAGCTGAATAACACTCCTATCCCTTTGGGATTGAGATTAAATGAGATAATGCAAGCAAAAGGCCCTGCTAACGTACCGGTGTGTTTGAGTGACCGCTGCAATGGCCAATAGCAGCTTGTCTGAACATCGCCGCCCCCCCCCCCCCTGCCGTCCTCCGTCCTCTACAACCAGATTTACCTGGGGGCAGGAAGAGCGTGGCGCGCACCCGGCCCTCGCGC